TTTTTTTTTTTTTGCGCAACAATAACTGAATGTATTCGTTCGAAATTTATGCAGACATCAAGTATTGTTAAAACTGTTACGAGAGTCGATCGGGAGGAAATTCGTTATTAAACCTATCTACCAAATCCTACGCATAATCAATCAAATCGAATCAATTTTCAGTTGTGGCGGGGGGGGAACACTAAACTTGTGCAAATGATTGTAACACCCAGAACGATTTCAGATGACCCTCCTAGTCCCCCTAGTCGTTATGCCGATCGATTCATAATCATTTCCTGATTCCTAATCAAGTCTGTCAGCGTGCCCGTCTGTTCATGTACACTTATTTTCAACCTATAGGAAATTTTCATAAAATTCGATACAATGACATGATTTGGACCAAAGACGAAACTGGTTAAATCGAATCGCTCCCCATATTATGTCTTGTTTTGACGAGTCGTTTATAAGAAAACAGAATTTAATTTTTAGAATTTCATGACAGTAATCGCTTAGTAATGGTACTTTGGCATTATAATTTGGCGGGAAGCAGGGGGGGAGGGGTAACTGAGTGGGCAAAAAGATCTAATTTTCAATAGTTCTTAATAAAAATTTGTTCATGATAATAATTTGACATAAAAATGAATCTTCCCAAATTTGGACCATGTAGTTCTCTATGTGTTTTGAATCTCAACCCATAGAAGGCTTTTAATAAAGAATCACGTCTAATTTCTGATGAAAATTTATCCTTATTAAATCAACCGCAAGCACTTTGGATTATATAGATATATTTTTTTGATCGCACCATTTATAGGGATTCTCATGGGCGCAATTCCTTTCACGGCGGCAAAGTACAATTTGTAATTTGCTATGCCGGAAGCAACTAAGAAACAGTAGAATCTTTTGACAAGTATGTTAAGACCGCTTAATTTAGATCACGATAGTTGACGCTTCGAGTATTCTCCAAGGGCTTTCAAGAAAATTATGTAAAATTCTTGATAAATTATTAATTAAGCGAACTGGTGTAGAGTAACTAATGCTCAGCTTTGCTCGTCGACTGTAGCATTCTTAGTAGTTGTTTTTTTTTGTTTTTTTATTTTTATTTTTTTGCACGAACTGGCAAATGTTTAAAGATGCACGTTCTTCGGCTTCTTTCTGTTAATCGGAATCCATACACAATAAAGGGATATAGAAAAAAAAAAGAAAAGAATTTTCTTAACTTACTAAAGAAGAAGAAGAAGAAGAAGGATTAGTATCAACAAACAAGTGTTAAAAAATGCATATACGCTGCACTTAAAAAGCAGTTTTATTTACCGTTTATTTCTTTAAAATAATAACAGGGGTATTGCGTCGTCTTTAAGGTTTTTCGCATCCTTCAAAAGCACCATAAATATGTGAAAGGTTCACTTGAAAAGCATTATGAAAATGTAGTTTTATGAAAGTGAATATAAAATTATTGCACTTGAAGATTCATGCACTTTGAAAGACAAAAAAAAAAAAAAAAAAACAAGAAAAAAAAGAAAAGAAAAACAAACTTTATGAATGCACTTGGCGGGCAACAACAACAACAACAACAAAAAATCACAAAAAAAAAAAAAAAAAGCAAAAGAAAAAGTGAAAATGTTGATTTTACACATCACACACACACACATACACACATACACACATATACAAACATACACACAATAAACATGTGCGTAGAGAATGCAGCGTAAGTTAAAGGACAAGCCATCAGCCCACATATTCAGTTTTCATATTTATGATGCATAACGTACATGTTGACATATAATTTATATTAAAAATAATTTTACGGTATAAAAATTATTGTAACATTAATGTTCTCTGTGACTTTAACTAAATAAATGGTGTCCAAGTTTTTTGAAAATTATATCCAAGCAATGATAATGAAAATAGTATGTTGAGGGCAAAAAGTGTATGTACGGTATGTAATCAACCAACCACACGTACAACCACAATAACAGAACCGAAAAAAAAAAAAAAAATGAAAAACAAATACACATAAGCCAACACATACAATTGCGGTCATTTTAAATATAAATACATATACGAGACTGTATATTGCGTAACTGAATATGGCTGCGTGCGCGTACATATGCTTAACTAAGAAAGAAACTATTTTCGATTAGGGCCGAATATTTTGATACCCTCCATCCAAATGGGAAAATGAAAATAGATATATATATCAATTGATAGCAATGGATAGATATATATAGCAATGCTGTATTATGCTGAAAGGTCTCAAGAGAAAACGATTTAATAGCAATTCGATCCTTCTAAGCTGAATTTTGAGATTATAATAGCAAATTTAATAAACGAACAGACAGACAGACAGACAAATAAAAAACTATATATGCTTACATGATCGATGAATTATATTATACGTGTTTATTTCATTCAGATATCATATGTCATATTTGGTAAAATCTTCTATTGAGAATCAATCCTTCGCGTTACAAACATTCCGCAAATTTAAATTGCTGCTTGCAATAAGTAGAGGCAAAGGCAATAATAATAAAAACGTAAAAGATTTTTTTTTTTTTTTTTTTTTTTT